AGAAATTATAAAAAAGAACCAAATGGAAATTCAGAAATTGAAAAGTACAAAAAGTACAAAAAGTACAAATTTCAGTACAGAGGCGCCTGGGTGGCTCAGTGGGTTAAGCCTCTGCCTTCGGCTCAGGTCATGCTCTCAGGGTCCTGGGATCGAGCCCCACATTGGGCTCTCTGCTCCGCGGGGAGCCTGCTTCCTTCCTCTCTCTCTGCCTGCTTCTCTGCCTACTTGTGATCTCTATCATATAAACAAATAAAAATCTTTAAAAAAAAAAAAAAGGAAAAAAAATTTTCACTACAGAAGCTTAACACTAGATTTTTTTTTTTTTTAAGATTTTATTTATTTGACAGAGAGAGAGAGAGAGCAGGGGAAGTGGCAGAGGGAGAAGCGGGCTTCCCGCTGAGCAGGGAGCCGGATGTGGGGCTTGGTCCCAGGACCCCAGTGCTCCGTGGGGAGTCTGCTTCTCCCTCTGCGCCTGCCCCTGCTTGTGCTCTCTCACTTGCTCTCTCAAATAAATAAATAAAATCTTTTTTAAAAAAATAAAAGATCACCAAAAGAATTAATATACTAGGAAACATCTGCTTAATCCAGAAGCAAGCAGTAAGGAAGGAGAAGACATACGCGGACACAGAAGACAGAAAAGGAGAACAGCAGACACAAGTCCAAACACGGCAAAATAACATTCAATACGAATGGATTAAATAACACAAATCAAAGGGCATAATTGCCAGGATGGATTTTTACTAAGTTCCACTATATGCTGTCTACAGGAAACACACTTTGGATTCAAAGATACAAGTTTAAAGTAAAAGAATGAAGGGGTGCCAATGGGTGGCTCAGCTGGTTAAGCATCTGCCTTTAGCTCGGGTCATGACCTCAGGGTCCTGGGATGGAGCCCCAAGCTTAGCGGGGAGCCTGCTTCTTCCTCTCCCACTCCCTCTGGCCCTTGCCCCACTCATGTATGATGTATCCTCCCTCTCTCTCTCTAATAAACAAATAAAATCTTTTTTTAAAAAAAGTGAAATAAGGGAAAAATTTTCATCAAACAACAGCAACCATAGGAGGTCTGCAGTAGCTATACTAAGATCAGAAAAAAAAAGAGACTTTAAAACAAAAAAAAATGACTAGAAATAGGGGGACAATTTATAATAAAGAGCCAATCCATCAGTCAGATAAAAGTATAAACGTATAAACAAACACAGACACGCCTAACAACAGTCCTCCAAAACAAAGGAGGCAAACCCGACAGAAGTGAAAAAGAAAACCAAGTAATTCAAAAATAGTGGAAGATTTCAATATACACTCTCAGTCATGGGTGTAACAACCAGAAAGGGCGAAGGAAAGACGTGAGGTTTACGAAACTGACAGTCTCTCTCCACTTCCACCCAGCAAAGGGCGTCATGCATGTGGGACATTTCCAGGACAGACCTTCTGTGACCCCATGAAACCAACCTCAGCTTAAGATGACCAGAATGATATAAGGTATATTTTCCAACTACATGGGTTAAGTTAGAAATCAGTTACAGATGAAAATCTGGGGATTTCACAAATACATGCAAATGACACAACATATATAAACAAAAAAACGGGTCAAAGAAGTAATCTCAAAGGAAGTTAAAGAGTATTTAAGACCAATGAAAATGAAAACACCACATGCCAAAACTTTCAGGGTTCACTGAAAGCATTTATTAGAAGTTTATGATAATACATGCTATACTAAAAAAGAAAAAAGTATCTCAAATCAATAATCTAACCTTCCACTCTTAGGAAACTAGAAAAAGTAAACTAAACCCAAAGCCGTAAGCAGGAGAGAAGGAAATACTAGACTCAAAATAAACACAGGAGAGAATAGAAACACAACAGAGAAAATCAACAAAACCAAAATTTGGTTCTTTGGGGGGGGAAATCAATAAAATTGACAAACCTTTAGCTAGAACAGCCAAAAGAGAGAGAGAGATAGAAGGGGACTCACACTATTCAAGTCAAGGACGAAAGAGAAACCACCTGCCCAGAAACAAAAATAAGACAAATGTACACATCAGCAGATTAGACTCAGTGGACACATTCCAAGCAACTGAGAAAAGTAACTAAGTAAAAGTTACTAAGAAAAGTAACTAAGAAAGTAAAAGTCACTAAGAAAAGTAGCTCAGGAAGAAGCCGAAAGTCTGAAGAGACTTGTACAAAGAGACTGACCTGGTAATTTTAAAACTTTCCACAAAGGCAAGTCCAGGCCCAGAGAGCCTCACAGGACAATTCTACCAAACATTTAAAGAATCAATAAGCTTGTGATGAGAAGTAAACAAGCCGCAGAGACCGAGAGCATTTCAGGGTGAACACGGACAACGCCGTTCTGTGGCCATCACGCCTGCTGAGACTAAAATATAATTATTCTAACCACTACGAAGATTTTAACTATGTAATATGATAATCACCACTATGACGGCAATCATACTACAATATATAAATGTATCAAAGTGAAACAATGTACACCTTAAATTGTCATAATGCTATATGTCAAATATATTTCAATTAAAAAACAAAAAACCTCCCATAAAGGAACATAGCCAGTAAGCTCCGTGACATTGGCCTTGGTGATGAGTTTTTGGACCTAACTGCAAAAGCAAAGGAAAAAAAGCAAAAATAAGTAAGTGGGACCACATCAAACTAAAAAGCTTCTGAACAGCAAAGAAAACCACCAAAGCACACAAGTGACCATTTTAATCAAAGAGACAACAGAGCTGGGGCGCCTGGGTGGCTCAGTTGGTTAAGCGTCTGCCTTCGGCTTAGGTCATGATTCCGGGGTGCCAGGATTGAGCCCCTCATGGAGCTCCTTGCTCAGCGGGGAGCCTGCTCCTCTCTCTCCCTCTGTCTGCTGCTCCGCTTGCTTGTGTTCTCTCTCTCTCTCTCTCTCTCTGTCAAATAAATAAATACATCTTTAAAAAGAAAAAAAAAGGACAACAGAGAGCAAGCGTTGGCGAGGATGTGGAGGAAAAGGGCCTCTCATGCACCATTGGTGGGAATGCAAACTGGTGCAGCCACTGTGGAAAACAGCATGGAGGGTCCTTAAAAAATTAAAAGTAGAATTACCACATGACCCAGCAATTCCACTACTGGGTATTTATCCAAAGAAAACAAAACCACTAATTCAAAAAGATATATGCACCCCTATGTTTACAGGAGCATTATTTACCACAGCCAAGATCCGGAAGCAGCCCAGAGTCCGTCCACTGATGAATGGACAGAGAACATGCAGTGTATATGTACAGCGGAATATTATTCAGCATAAAAAAGAAAAAAGTCCTGTCATTAGCGACAACACGGATGGACCCTGAGGGCATTTTGCTAAGTGAAATAAGTCAGACAGAAAAACACAAGTACTGTATGATCGCGCTTATATGTGGGGTCTAAGGAAACAAATGACAGTCAGTACAATGACTGATGTTAACTAGACTTACTACATACTCGAACCAGATGTTATATGTCAATTACACCTCAATAATTTTTTTTAATTAATAAGGATTTGATACCAATCCTTCCTGAACTTGAAATAGAAAAGGAAAGGGGCGCCTGGGTAGCTCAGTGGGTTAAGCCTCTGCCTTCGGCTCGGGTCTTGATCTCAGGGTCCTGGGACTGAGCCTTGCATCGGGCTCTCTGCTCAGCAGGGAGCCTGCTCCCCTTCTTCTCTCTCTGCCTACTTATGATCTCTTTCTCTCTGTCCAATAAATAAATAAAATATTTAAAAAAAAATAGAAAAGGAGGGAACACTTCCCATTCCCAACCTGACTTAGAAGACCAGTACTATCCTGATACTAAAACCAAAGTCATCACAAGAATTTAAAAAACAGGGGGAGGTGGGGCCTGGGTGGCTGGGTCATTAAGTGTCTACCTTCAGCTCAGGTCATGATCCCAGGGTCCTGAGATTGAGTCCCACATTGCGCTCTCTGCTCGGCGGGGAGCCTGCTTCTCCCCACCTCCCCCATCAACCACCTGCCTCTCTGCCTACTTGTGATCTCTCTTCTGTCAAATAAATAAATAAATAATCTTAAAAAAAAAATACTAGCAAACAGAATCCAGCAACTTATAAAAAGGATTACACATCACGATCAGATGGGATTTATCCCAAGAATGCTATGTTGGTTCAACATACAAAAATCAATCAATGTAGAATAAAGGACAAAACCACATGATCATCTCAAAGACACAGAAAAGCATTAGACAAACTTCAACATTGTTTCATGATTTAAAAAAACAAACAAACAAAAAACTCAACAGACTCAGAACAGAAAGGGTCTTGCTTCATCTACATGAGACATCTGTGTAAACTGCGCAACTTCATCCGGCTCGATGGCGACAGAATGCCTTCTCATTGAGACCAGGCACACGACAAGCATACCCATGCCCACCATTCCTAGCCATTCCTAATTCTAGGGTAATTAGGCAAGAAAAAGAGAAAGCATTCAGATTGGAAAGGAAAAAGTAAAACTACCTCTACTTGCAGATGACATAATCTTACAAGGGAGAAACCCTAAAAAATGTACTAGAAAGCTATTAGAACTAAAGAATGAGACCAGCAAAGCTGCAGGATACAAGATTAATATGTGAAAACCAATTTTATTTCTACAACATAGCAATGAACAATCCAAAATGAAATTAAGAAAACAATTCCATGTACCATAGCATCAAAAAGAATAGAACACTTGGAAACAAATTTAACAAAAGCATTCCAAAACTTGTACTTTGATCATCTGTTCCCCCCAACACACACACACACACACACACACACACACGCGTGCGCGCGCGCAAAATGGGCAGGTTTCTAGGAACTAGTTCATGCTTAAAAATAGCAGGCTATGGGTTGGTTAGTTCGCTGGAGACATGGCCGCCTTAGTAAAATGAATCACACGTGGAGCAGCAGGACAGTGAGGGGCTGAGCTGGGACAGAGCTGCACAGAATGAATGAAGCAGAGGGTCCAGGGGGCCGCCTTGTGCGGTGTGGTACGTACCCAGATATGACCGCCTGGGGGGGACCTTGATTTCTTCATCCTTATTATCTGCAGCTACATTTAAAGAAAGAGAAACAGAAAGGAGGAAGAGACAGAAACAGACTGGTTTGAACACTGGTCAGCAGCCGTGGCTCCCAGCCCTCTTTGCATTTCTTTACAAACAAAAACAAAAACAAAAGACATTGGAACAGAAGGACAGATCTTGGCTTCTGTGTTTTAGGAAATTTACTTCCTGAACTATTTTACCCCCAACGTACCCTCTTCCTGTAGAAGTGCCTGGAGCAGGAGGAGGAAATCTTGGCCAAAAAATGAAAAGTCACCACATTTTCACTTAATTTGTAAGGTCGGAGGTGCCATAAAGGCCACTGCATGGCTACTAGGCTGAGAGAAAGAGAAAGCAGATGCGACTTCTGTTTTCCCCTAAAAACTCATCTATATGCGAGCTTTGACTGCTCTTGTCCCAGGGTCACACCCTTCAGAAGGCGGCTGCAGAAAGCTGTTTTCGGAGCTTGTCAGAATGGGGAATGGGGAACCAGTTCAACCCGAGAACCTGACAAGCGTGTAGCCCAGAGACAATGCGGGTCCGTCCCACCAGGGAGGAACTGGAGGAGTCAGGGCAGCTGCACTGACGTAGCACGAGATGACTCCGTGCTGGGGGAACCCGCTCCTCTGGCAGCCCAGCCCCACCGCAGACCCCCCAACACGGTGCTGCTAGACGACAGCCCACAGCCCTTGAACACACAGCCAGAGTCCCTGCACAGTGGAGCCCAGGACGGAGTCTGAAAGACAGAGGGAAGAGTCACGGGGCCCAGTTCCCTGTCCCCTGCCCCAAGTAATGAGGCTCCACCCATAAAAGGACAGACTGCAAGCAAACAGCTGGGAGAAAATGCCAGACTGGCTCCGTGCGTGGGGACAGCAGATGCCCACAGACCCTGCTTGCAAGGAGTGGCTGCAGAGCCCACATGAGGGCTCCCTGGGGCCAGCAGCACCGGCCACACGCCTCACCTCCCTCACCTCCGCACCCACTCCCTCCCCAGCTCCCCTCCAGCAGCTCCTGCCCTTGAACACCCAGGCTTTGCCCTTGAACACCCAGGCTTTGCGGAGTTCCTCAGCTTCGTGATTCTATTTCTCTCCTGAGACCGATTTCCCCACTCACTGACACTTCCTCTAAGGATCAGGTTCCAAAGTGCAAGGGGGAGGGGACGAAGGGGACACAGGACACACTGCTTAAGTTGGCTCCGGGTGCAGGCCGGACCCCGACACACCATCTGCCCTCTCGACTCAGGCCACATCATGCCCAGCGGACAAGCAGAGCTCGGAAGCACGCCAGGGAGCAGGGTGGGGCCAGGGGGAGGCCCAAGAGTGAGAGAACATGGCCCATCGGGCTCTCTAGGTAGCACCACGGGGGAAGGAAAAGCAGCAGCTGGTAGGGAGTCATGGGTCAGGGAGGGGAGACTCACCCCAAGGACAGAGTCAAGCCACCTAAGGTTTCCTGGCTACAAAGCAGAGAACCATCCCTGTGCAGGACAGAATGGAGGTGAGCCAGTCCTGAAGCTGAGAGCCCAGGTAGGGACCCATGGTCCATACTGCCCACGTGGTCCAGGCCTCCCAGCAACGTGCCCACAGTGACGTCAGAGCCTCACCGCTCCCCGCTGGATGCACCCCTGGGTTCCTGGGGACTGTGACCACTCCAGGATACAGAGACGATGCTGCATGGGCCCCAAGACCAGATGACAAGAAAGACACAGCTCCCACCCGGTTCTCTCCCAGACCCATCCCCTGAAGCCTGGCTGCCGTGTCGCAAGGAAGCGTGGGCCACGTGAGGAGGCCACATGACCATGTCCCAGCAGACTCCCCAGGCACGTGAGAAGCTGAGAGGAAAGGAGGGAGGGAGGGACACAGAGAATGAAGGAGACCCAAGCCACAGAGACTCCAGCAGGAGCTCAGACAGGAGAACTGGCCATCCTGAGCGCCAGAGGACAGCTAGGGGATGGCGGGCGGGAAGGCTGGGAGCTGCCACGAGCCAGGGCACATGCGGTTTCCAGGGGCTTCAGGTCCCCGTCGTGGTGTGAGAGCCACTGCGGTAGGCACGTGGAGAGACCAGTTGGGAGGAGCAGAGCATGGGGGCCATGGAGGGCGAGGGTTCCATGGACAAGATGACCCAGAGACCAGGGCACCAGGGGGATCCAAGCAAAATGGAGATGCGAAGGACATCAGTTAGGGCTGTAGGTAGGGGAGACACTCCTCTCCAAGGAGGACACCGATTAACCCTTAGAAATGCAGAATGGCTCATAGACAAACACCTTCCAGGGGCTTGGTGGGGGGGGGGGTCCTCAGCTTTCATTCTTAGGATGGTATGTGACCCTCCCCCACCCACTTCCCCAGCCAATTCCATCCTGGAGCTTGGAGTGCCGAGACCTGGGGCCAAGTCAGATGAAGGCGACCATCTGACTCTGAGCCAGAGACGAGATTCTTTCTTCAATAAAAAGGAACCAAGAAGCCAGCAGTGTGTGCCTGTCCCTAAGGAGCCACTCTTCCCAGCGACTCTGAACAAGGTCATCGATGGTAAGAACGTATCGTCCTGGGACCCCCAAGAGAACAACGTTCCAGGAGACTCCTACGGAGAGCACCACGAGCAGAAGGAAGCAAGTCCAGCCATTCTCTAGCTCCTGGGTCCTTGAGAAGCCGGTAGAAGACGCGAGACAAGACGGAAGCGCGGCAGAGTCGGCTACAGGTCTCACCACACCATCTGCCACAGAACCTCCCACCCACTGAGAAAGCCGAACCACCCCAGTCCCACAGCTGTCCCCGGGACCAGAGTGCAGCCTCCAAACGCCACGCGCACGTAGCACACGGGCTCCTTGGAGAGATGACCGGCTCTCGGCCTGCGGCAGAAACAGGAGACAAACATCTGGAGCATCTTGTCACGAGATCGCAGGTCCGAGGGACACTCGTCCATGCCAGAAGGTCAGGAGCCAACCGCAGAGGCTCCCAGCAGCAGACGGGAGTCAACAGGGCCTTCACCAAATATAATAAAAGGCAATTCAGAGAAACACATCAAATATGGGATTTGAAACCCACATACTCAGAGCAGAAAAACAACGTGATCACTGTTTCAAGATGCCGGGGAACCAATTCTGAAAACCGGCAAATAAAGAGAAAGAAGAGAAACAGTGACCTGCCTTTCATTTATAAATTATAGACTGGATAACTGAACAGCGTTTACAGGGGCAGTTTTTCTTCAGAGAATCCCTCCAGCTAACAGGTGAGCAGAGACGGACAGATCATCAGTGCTCTGCAGCCTCACGGCCACGGGTTAGGCACCAGGCACCCGCCACCGCTGACCACTGATCTCCACCACGGACCCCGCCCCCACTGACCTCCAACAAGAGATAAGCCGCCAATACATGTGTCCTTGTAGAAGAACACAACAGTCGGCAAAAACCAGAAAGAACCAAACCTAGATCTGACCAGACCCCTAGATCCAAAGATCTCTTTCCAGTGTCCTTCCACACGGCATACCAGAGACAAGAAGATGTGATCAACCACCACGAGTGTGGCCAGCAGAAGCCAGGCTGGGATGACGTCCGTGCAGGGCGGCTGGACGTCCCCTGCAGCAGCAAGAACCTCATCCTCGCGCGGATGTGGCTTAGCTCTCGACTCTGCATTCCCCGCACACTCTGGGCTGTCAGCCCCCGGCTGAGCCTGGGGGTCGCACCACCCACCAACCCACAGACCAGGCCACACGGAAGGACAGGAGGGAGGGAGAGCCTGCAGATGAGAAGGACAACCAGCGGGCGCCTGGGCAGCTCCGCTGGGTAAGCGTCTGACTTCGGCTCAGGTCATGATCCTGGGGTTGTGGGATCAAGCCCCACGTTGGGCTCCCTGCTCCGTGGGGAGCCTATTTCCCCCTCTGTGGCTTAAACGTTCTAACAAACCAAAATAATCTCCAAAAAAAGAAAGAAAGAAAGAGAGACCATCAGCTGACTGCAGTGTGCAGCCTGTAACCTGACCCCGGCTCGAGGAGATAAATCAGCCCAAAATGAGGAAGTGACGAGGCAGCTAGAAACTTGCACCGCAACTGCGTCCTAGATAATTAAGGAACTCATTTTTTATGACTGATAATGGCATGACAGTATTTTTTTAAAGTCCTTCTCTTTTAGAGAGACATTGTGAACTATTCACCAACAGGGTATGTCAGGAATTTCCTTCAAAAACGGCAGGCGGGCGACGAGAACAGGGCCTTGGGGAGCAGCCAGAGGTGGGCACGACCACACCTCTCCCCGAGTCTGTAGATGTCTCACGTTCTCCAAATAAAACATGGCAGGTGAGAAGGAAAAACACAGCACAGAAGACACATCGGACTTCACTCCCGCGGTGGGTAAACAGCAGCGTCTCCGGAAGATTTCTTCCTTAAACACATGCGTCTGGCCACCCCCGGAGGCTGAAGTCACCTCCAGGACCCACACCCCAGCCCAACCAGAGTCTGAACAAGGGCACAGAAGGAACCCCCAGTGGAAGGAGACATTTTTAAAAATTTGAGCCTCATTTTGAAATACTCCCAGTTCTGTGATAGGAGACAAACTGCAGAAGTGTCCCCAGAGTTCACAGATGTCACCTCTGGGTGGCCGGATGGAAAGCTACTTGCTTTCACTTCATACTCCTCTCTCCTCCCCCAAAATGTCGACTATGAGCATGTACAGCTCCTTCTAATCAGACAGGAAATTATATATTTAACTGTGTAAGTAACCTGCTTTTTCTTCTTTGATTCCATTTCTTTCTTTAATCTTAACTTCCAACATGAACCAGTACCTTCAAAATTAAAAACCTCTATAAAAGACAGGTATAAAACATTTAAGTTGTTGTTATTTGTTTAGGCTTTCTATCCTCTGAGCACGCTGAAACAGGGGTATTAAAGATTTCCTTCCTGAAATACTTGAGGTGTGCATGGCCAGCCTCCTCAGGCAACCCCAACGCCCCAGCAGAAAACCGCCAGGAAGTGGGGGCCGCCTGCCTTCCACGGGGAGGCCCCCCGCACCGTGGTCATGGGACCTTAGCGCTTCCAGCCTGAAATAGTCGGTGTTTCCGTCCCCCACCTTCCCACTTCCGGCAGAGGACAGGAGAGAAAACCACGCATCATTAAAAAGTTTCCCTTAGGAGTGTGCTGTGTATCTCATACACAGGAGACACAAAAATACGTAAATCTCATTGGATTCAAGAATTGGAGATGGACCTCACTAACCCTCAAACACATCCTGCTGTGTTCTCCCATGTGGAGTTTGGGGATGGGCTCTCCATCTGGGGCTGTCTGCCCCCCCCCACCTCCCCTTGAGGAGCCCAGGGCTCGTGAGACACGGTCCGTCCTCCGCCAGAGTGGAACTGCAGCGAGGCGGCCAGCCAGGCAGGGACAGGCCCGGGGGGGGGGGGGGGGGGTGCTGTTCCGGGAGGCAAGGTCAAAGCCCACCGCCGCTGTGAGATTGGGGGAGGAGCAGAGGGAGAAGTGGACCCCCCACAGAGCAGGGAGCCTGATGCGGGCTGGATCCCAGGACCCGGGATCATGACCTCAGCCGAAGGCAGACGACACCAGGGGTCCCTCTGTTCTTTCACTTTTAACTTACTTGTATCTTTGAATCCAAAGTGTGTTTCCTGCAGACAGCATATAGTAGAACTTAAAAAAAATTCATTCTGGCAATTATGCCCTTTGATTTGGGTTGTTTAATTCATTCAAATTTAACGTTATTTTGATGTGTTTGGATTTGTGTCTGCTGTTCTCCTTTTCTGCTTTCTGTGTACCTGAGGCTGAGCTCCCCATGTCCCTGCCCTGCCGGCTTCTGAGGTACTTTCCGCTCCTGCCCCTCCCCTACGGCCAGCGCCAGAACCACTTCTTCCCCAAGTCCTTCCTGGCCGTGTCCTCTCTCCTCTTCTACTCTAAGGGCCTCTGCCGACATCAGGCCCGCCCAGGCAGTCCAGGGCAAGCCCCGGGGAGGCCTCAGCGCTCATCACCCCTGCAGCCCCCACACCACCTGACATGGCCCCTCACAGGCTCCCAGGTGTGGACGTGTGTGGGCTCTGGTCATCTGCATCCCAGAGAGGCTTCTTGTTAAAGTTCACACTGTGGCCTTATCCCTGGAAATTGGGATTCACTACTTTAACTCGATCCATTCTAATCGACCAGCATTGAAGACAGTCCTTGTAGAAGAATTTACACACAACACTAGGTGTCAAGATAGAACGAGCGAGAACTGTGGCGCCAAAGGCCGTGGGAAGAGGCCCCACTCCCCGCTCCCGAGGTCTGCCCCTGCCCTCAGCCGCACCTGTGCCTCTGGCCTCCTGCCGGTGACTCCGGGAAGCAAGACAGCAGGTGTGGGCAGCCAACCGCCTGTCTTCCAAGCAGGGCACAGAAGGGTGACTCTAGGACTGCTCCATGGCCTGGAGGCCCACGCCCCTGCTGTATCTGGCACCCTACTCAGCACAGCCTCACACTATTTCCAACAAGATCATGAAACCTGGTCTCACGTTTCAGAGTGAGGCATAGGAACACTGAGCAACTGTGGGCCCCAAGCGTCTCCTCCTGCCTTTCGTCCTTCCCTGGGGGAGCGGAAACTGACCGCTCTACTGACTACCGACCAACCCCCACGCTCCCCCACGGGGGTGGGCGCAGACCCTGGGCCACACTGAAGGCGAGGTTTGCAGATCGGTGGGGCGGGGGGTGCAGAACCTGGGCCAGCCCCTCACCCGCTAAGGGCCAGGTGGCCAGAGAAGCCCTGCTCTTAGGCAGGACCCGCAGTACAACGAGCACAGCCTCAGTTGTGAACAGTGAGAGCCGAGAACAGATTGCAGAGAAGTTAATGGGGGAGAGAGAACAAAGCCACAACAGAAGCAGACCATGGGGGCCACTTGAGTGACACGAACCAGTCCGGGCCGCCCATCAGCGCTGGAGGCTATTTAAAGACTGAAACTGGCAAACCTTCATCTCTAAAAACAGAAGCTACCGGGGGAAAGGATCTGCTCCGATGGAGAGAAAGTAACCATCAGGACAAACAAGGAGCAGGACCTCAAGTCCCCAGGAGCCAAACACAGTCCCACAAAAACGCTTCGCTAAGCAACAGGTGAGATGAAACACACGCTTCAGACAGAGTCAAATGAGAGCTGTGTTCCGTCTAGTAACTGGAAGAAAACCAGAAGTAAAGCATTGACAACGCTCCCGCATGTTCACACACAGAACACAAGCCCAGAAGGAGCTTTTTCAAAGGAAAAGGCAAAAACAAGAAGTATTTTCTATTTTCTGAGCCACAAAGTCACGAAGCAGCGTGGGCTGAGCGTGTAATTCATCCTGCCCGACGCGCAGACCCCGCGGGCCCACTCCAGGTGACCCCCCGACGGCCCCACAGGAGCGGGACGTCGGGTCAATGGTTACCAGGCACGAGAGGAAGCTCCCGGTGTCAGCAACGAGCGCAGCTACAGTCACCGAACCGGCATGTGGGAGCCGCCGGCCCCACACGGAGAGAAAACCGCCGTTGGGCAAATCCCCCTCTGAACCGACCGTGCCAGAGAAGATACCGAAACGTACGTCCTACCCCAGTCAGAACCCTCAGGTAAACAGCCACGGTGCAGAGGAACACGTCAAGATCACTTCGTAACTTGCCCACCTTCCAGGGAAGAAGCGACCCCGTGTTAAGGGAACGTGCGGCACATGGGAAACACGGACGTCGGGCACTCGTCACCGTGCCCTGCGTAACCCAGCACGGGTCCGGCAACACGGAGCGGCCCCTGCCTCTCCCGCGCACACAGGGTGAATTCTGCTTGTTGACCGAGTGCTTTGTTCCCAAGGCCGCAGATCAGATCACCAACCTGCAAAGAAACGGCGTTTTACGTTCAGCTCGTTTGTGACGCGGACTTCGGTGCAGAGCTTCAACATCAGTAACATGGTCAAGATCATGACTGCACTCTGCCAGAGAAGCGGCGACTCAAAGTGCCGTCCAAACCTGGGGAGGGAAAGAGACCACGGCGTCAGGAGGGCCCCGGGGCACTAGGGGCCTCACCGCCTCTCCCTGCCCGGGCCCCTGCCATGGCCCCCGTGGCCACCCCCCGAGCAGCCCCAGACGGACTCACACACGCGTCACAGCTGCGGGCCCAAGCGCCTGGGCCTCCAGCCTCCGTGGGGAGACACAGCAGGGTGGGCAGGGGCTAGGAGCACTCGGGGACGGCAGGACCAGGGACCACGATGGCCCCTCTGCAGGGGCACCTCTCAGAACGACGGGCAGGGTTGCCACGCTCCCCTCCCCGGGACCCGCAATGAGGGCGGGATGGGCCTCCCGGGTTCCCTCACCACACAGCCAGACGTCCCGCGGACAGAGGCCCCAGCCACCCACGAAGCCCAATTTCTAGAACACCTGATTCCCTGGGAAGACTCACACCAGAGTCCAGGAATGACAAGAAGTCCTGCCTCCTGCCTGGGCTGAGTGGGGTCAGTAGGCCAGAGCAGTGGAGGACCAGGGAACCCCCCCGTCCCTCCCACCAGGAGGAGGCAGCTGAGGTCACAACCTCCCACTCCTAACCTGAGGCCCTGACTCCCCCCATCCAGGCCTCGCTGCCTGCTGTCCTTCTCCCTCCCTGCCCAGGCCTCACTGCCCACTCTCCTCTACCCGCCAGCCTGCCCGGCTCTCATGCCCTTCCTGCCGATGTCTTCCTGGTGGTAAAGTGTCACCAACTGAGCCATAAGCTCCTGGAGGAAAGACCCTCGATCTAGTGACCAGTACGAGCTGGGCCCGTCAGCAGACCCCAAACCCCAGGGGCGGAGAACAGCAGCGCCGCCCTCCATGCACCAGCTAGGGGGTCTCTGCTGTGGCCACGAGGATCGGTGTTGACCCAGGCCCATCTCTAAGGCCAGGCCTGGACAGGGCACCCCTTGAAGCCCCAACCCCAATTCTAGCCCAGCTACTGGGGAGCAGGAATCCCACTAGGTCTGGCTGCATCACGGCCTGAGGGCAGCTCCAAAACTTGAGCTGGGTCAATGTTTTGAGTCAAGAGACCCTGCACGGCAGCTTGACTTCCCAGCTGGTCGTGAAAAGAAGATGCAGAGAGAACCACCCGCCCCCTCCCCACCGCCCTCTCCCTCACCGGGCCTGAGCCAACAACGTGCGCCCCACAGAGAGGGTTGGTCACCGAGAGCTGACCACTGAAGCCTGGTAGGGGCACCCCCATGACACAGAGCTGGGTCAGAGCTCCCGGAAGGGCACGGGCCAGGGCTCCCCCACACCGCCAACATCAAACCAATGAGAAATCAAGACAAAAACTCAGCTCTGGGCTTGTTGTGAAGGTCAAGATTAGGCCTCCTGGCCGAGGAACACACCTTTGAGAGGTGTGCCTACACAGCAAGAAAATCTCCCTACATGGTCGAGAAAACATGATGCTTCTTCGCACAGAGTCACTGACTCTGGCCCCTGCTCCAGTGCGAGTCAGTTTCTCCAAGACGGAGTCTGGGGCATGCACCGCCCTGCCGGCGTCCTAGCCAACCCACACACCTCTCTGGAGGGGATGCCTCTGCCCAGGGTCTGCCCCGCCAGCGTGAGTTGGCCCAGCAGCAGAGAGCAGGCCACCGGGAGCGGGCTGCACCCAGGCCACCAGCCCGCAGGAGGTCCAGCCACCAGGAATAGCCAGATAGTCCCTGGGAAGCGGGGAACCACGACACCCGTTCCAGCACTGGCATTCTGCACGGTTTCTGAGGTTAAAGCCTGGCCTGTGTCCTCAGAGCAAAGGACAGAGCAATCTGGGGTCACAAAGCCTCAGGCCCGCACCCCTTGGGCCCCTGAGGAACCAGGACACAGATAGGACAGCTCCATCACCGCGAGATTACTCCTGCCTCCCCAGGAAATGTCACGTGGGCTCACCGGGGATCCTGCTGCTTCGTGTGGACCCCTCCTTCAGGAGAGGAGCTGAATGCTAAATGGTCAGAGCAAGAAAGGGCCAATGGGCCCTGGAGCTTTCGAAGCCAGCGGCACAGACTGGGGGAGCCCACAGACTCCACCCCAGGCTGGTTCCACAGCCCTCGCGCCTGGACCCACTGCCTCTGGGCCTTGCCTCTTCCGTAAAGGGTAGCTATTACCCCAAAGGCCATTAAGGACACTTCTAGTCCTTTCTAGGAACTGGATCCCACTGGTTACGCAGCTGGGATCAACTCCTCTAAGGTGAAGTTCAGACAAGGGGACAGCAAAAGTTCAGTGTCAGCCTAAGGAGACAGGAAGTACTTCCTGAGCAGGTGGGAAGGACCCAGTAAAGCAAGGTATTCTGGGGCTCCTCACACCAAGCTAACTGCCAGTTATGAGGCTGAAGATGTGCAATTTTGGCCATTATGTGAGAAAGGCCACTTTTGTTTTTTAAATTCTCAACAGAAACAATGACTAGAAAAACTGTGGGCAAAGAAATCAAGGTTTGCACTTCCCCTTACACCCTACACCAAAAACTGAATCCAGATGATCTCAGTATTTACAATAAAAACAAGACCATCTAAAGCAAAATAAGAGGGAGCAGAGGTGAATATTTAACTGATTTTGGAAAGACAGGCTAAGCAAGATACAAATTTCAAAAAGCACAACTCTCGACAAGCAATATACAAAAGACAAAGTAAATATGAAATGAAGATCAATGTCATTAGTAACTTTTAGAGGCTAATTAAAATAGAAAGATACCATTTTTTACTTATCAAATTGGTTAAGCTTTTTCTTCCTTTAAAGCTAAGAACTAAACTGACAGAGATGTCAGCACTTTGTCCTCTCCGGCCTGAGAATGTGTGTTGGCACGACTTCTCCTGAGGGCAGATGATAGGAGAGCCCACCAGATGAGTGCAGGGCGTGCTGCTCAGATAAGCCAGTTTGAAGGGTTTGTCTTTCCCCCTCGGAAGATACACACTGCAGGAGAGGCGATGCTTCACCAAGTCTGAGCAAAAGTTTCTACACGGGACACCTCTCATGTCTTCCAAGTAACAGAAAAGCTCCAGTAGAAAGAAGTTGTCTATCTCCTTCCCTGTGTCACACTGACTGCTACACCCTTAGCTGAATGTTACTGTGTGCCCAACAGGGCCACATCTCTGATACAATGTGAGCAGGACGCAGCTGCATCTCTGATACAATGTTACTGTATGTACTACAGTCTTACTACATCTCTGACAGGGTGCTGCCCCTCTCTAGTGTTCCCTTATTTCTGATACAATGTCACTGCATCTCTGATACAATGTTATTAAACATCTAACACATTACTGTCTCTGTTACAGTGTTTTCACCCAATAGGAATAGAGCTTGAGAACCAGCTCTGTGAACGCAGAAGGCTAGGGATGGAAGGTCCTGCGATACCAGCCCTGCACCCCGGCCTCCTGCGCCTCATTCTGCCCTTCTCTACAAAATCACAAGTCTGCAAACATCAGTCATGAGGCATCATTTAGCCCTTCGCCTGGTTTCTCCTGATGCCACTCATCTGAGTCAAAATACTATCCGTAAGCATTTCATAGAATATAACCTGCTGAATGCTAGTTTTGCGAAAGGATGATAAGAATTGTAAGAAATAAAGGTGCTAGAGGGGGCACCTGGGTGGCTCAGTCTGTTAAGCATCTGCCTTTGGCTCAAGTCATGATCTCGGGGTCCTGGGATTTAGTCCCACATCAGAGGGGGAACTCAGCTTGGAGGGAGTCTGCTTCTCTCTCCCCCTCTGCACTCATGCTCTCTCTCAAATTCTTAAAAAGGGAAAAAAAAAAAAGTTTTAAAATTAAAAAAAAAAAAAAAAAAAAGAAAGGAAGGCACTAGAGTTCCACAAGTTTTAGAAAACCCATGTTGGGGTATGTGAGTGGCTCAGTGGGTTAGAGCCTCTGCCTTCGGCTCAGGTCATGATCTCAGGGTCCTGGGATCGAGCCCCACATCAGGCTCTCTGCTCGGCGGGGAGCCTGCTTCCCTCTCTGTCTCTGCCTGCCTCTCTGCCTGCTTGTGATCTCTCTCTCTCACTGTCAAATAAATAAATAAAATCTTAAAAAAAAATAAGTTAAAAAAAAAAAAAGAAAAAAAAGAAAACCCAGGGTTTACCCAGCTCAGTCCCCCTCTGCTGCACAACTGCGAGCTACTCACAACCCTCATACCACAAATCTGCAGGGGTCTTCCCACACCAGAGTTCCGAGGACTGTGGTCTCAGCTGGCTTTGGGAAACACACTCTTCAGTTCTAAGTTCAGCCCTGGTCTAGTATAGACACAGCTTCCGTCTCACCTGGAGCCTGCCACAACCCATGTTGTGTACAAGGTACACCCCACACAGCACTTCTGCTAACATGCAAACCCCATGGCATCTGGACCAGGGTCTGGAACGCAGGAAACCCTCCAACACCTGCTAACCCACGGGCTGCTGCTAACAAATAAAGGCTGGAGGACCCAGGAGTGGGGGCTTCAGAGGCTCCAGAGAAGAAATAAAAGGGAGGATGTGCACCCCTCTCCGAGGAGTGGGGCCTAGGACTTGGTGGGCAGAGAAGCCCACATGACTCCAAGTCCTGAACAGAGCTCAGCCTGTCTGCCGGGCTTCACTGTGACCGCAAGGACTGTCCTGCGTGAAATGCAAGAAAAGCACACCCCTGGGCCAGAGACACTCTGGAGGAGGGACCAGTGCCCTTGGCCAGCCCTCCTTCCACCCCACATACTGCTGCAATCTCCTGGAATGTGGGCTGAGGGCAGTCCTGTGTGTTCACATGTCACCACAGAACCGCTCCGGTGACCCGGGGCAGCACAGGGTGCTGACTCTGGGAAAGGACCAGTTGGATGGATAGAAATAGACTTGCCAGTGGATGAAGTTTAGAAGCCCACAGTTTAGAAGCCCACAGTTGAGAAGCCCAGTGCCCCATTAGGAGAGCTCCAGATTCTGCTTCCCAAAGTCTCAGGCCCTGGAGTGGGGACAGGACTCCCAGCCCAAATGTCAGTTAAACCCAAAAGCCCTGAGACTCAACATTTAAGAAATTAGTGTAATTGCTGACTTCTCCAAACCAGCTATTTGGATGTACATTAGCTATTCTATCCTCTTTTTGCCTCTTTTTGCGACTGTGAAGGAGAAGCATACTAGGAAGAGATCTCTTGACTGATCTTTTTCCCCCATAAGGCAAGCCAATGTCAGGCACCCCCCCCCCCAGTGCAAGAGAAAACTTGTTGCACAACCTCAGCCTGGGAGACCCCTGAATGAACCCCCAGTGCACTCGGGATTAACAATGGTGTCAGACACAATTATATTTCAGGAGCTGCTTCTTTTCAACCTCAGACTTGATTAAAGCCATCTTATTTTTTTTTTAAGATTTTATTTATTTATTTGACAGAGATCACTGAGCCACCAAGGAGCCCCCTAAAGCCATTTTAGAAAAAGCCACATGTCACTGTAAAGCGAGTGATCTCTGCCCCCAGCCGAAGGAAAAGGAGGAATCTTCAAAATGTGCGTTTTCAACTTGTGCCAAAGGAAGAAATAAGCACCCATGAGCCCTCCTTCCAAAGTAGCCTCCTAACCCAGAGACACACCTGGGGGTGTGACAAATTCTCCCTGGAGGGGCTGACTTACTGGCTCACCTTTTAAAAGCCCCAGACAAGGGCAAAACTAACACACAGTGAAAATAAATCAAAAGTAGCCTGGGGCCTGGCACCACTGGATGGCCCCATCCTGGATGGAACACAGAGGAGAGAGCAAACCTCTGGGCTCAGAAAACTCCTATCTGGGTTGTGATGATGATGGGAAGGGGACGTTGTCAAAACTCGTCAAACTGTGAACTTATGATGGGCAGTTTTATTTAATGTAAATCATACCTCCATAAAGTTGACTTAAAAATGAATTAGCAGGGGGCACCTGGGTGGCTCAGTCAGTTAAGCGGCTGCCTTCAGCTCGGGTCATGATCCCAGGGTCCTGGGATTGAGCCCCACGTCAGGCTCCCTGCTCAGTTGAGAGCCTGCTTCCCCCTCTCCCTCTGGTGTCCTCTCTGCCTACTTGTGTTCTGTCTGTCAAATAAATAAAATCTTAAAAAAAAAAAAAAAAAGAATTAGCAAACAATGTGGTTAGTCCATTACCAAAAAGCCAACAGGAGGAACCAGAAGCAGAGCTCTGGACGCCAGTTGCCTGGAACCCTTGTCCCACCTCTGCACTCAGCCGTCCCACTATATGTGTGGACAGTCAAGAAGAAAGTTCCAGACCTCTTCCATCTTAGAATGGGGCTGTAATGGGGCACCTGGCTGGCTCTGTCTGTTAAGCACCTGACCCCACTCAGGTCATGAAATCAAGCCCCATATCCGGCCCTGCGCCGGTCACGCAGTCTGCTCAATATTCTCCTGTCCCTCTGCCTCTTCTCCAACTGCCACCTCTTCCTCTCTTTAAAGAAAAAAAAGGCGGTCATAAGACACCATTTCATTTCCTCTAAAAACGCCCCCTCCCAGACATGCCTGGCTTTAGCAACTATTAAAATTAACTTCAGACTTCCTCACCAGAATGCAAACGATAGTAAGAGCAAGCGGCACTGGGACTGGCAAGGAAAACAGTCTCTTAAGTAGCACCCAGAAAATTGCCTTTTCTATCAGAACGAACAAAACTGTACACACAACAGACACGCCTGAGGGGACGGCCCTCCCCGCACCCAGCCCCTGAGCTCTTTCCTGCCCGGCTCTGATGTGCCTTCCTGAGGGGCTCCGTGGTCAGTGGTATGCCCTTCCCACAGCTCGTCACTTTTGGTTAGTCTTAATTTCTTCTTCATTCCCTCTTTCGTCTCTCCTGCCCCCATGCAATCCTGAGGGAAGGAACCGAGTTCAAGGACCTTGCCCAGCACCCGGTCGACTGCGGGAAAATCTCTCCCCAGGTATGAGTGCCATGAAATGAAGACGAAGGCTGAGAGTCTCCACTCCAGTCCCCCATTTTTCCTGGGAAATGATCGCATGCAACCGGCCAGCTCCTGCCACCACCCCCACCCCACTCGGGAACCCCAAAAAGAGAAAGCCATCTCCCTGGAAGCACCCCCATAGGAAGCCCCCCACTTACCAGAAGAGGATCCGTAAAATATTAGCCACCAGGAGCACCAGACACACGTAGGTAGAGAAGCCCTCAGCGTTCTGAGTCCTCCGGATGTCCCTGTACTGGGGGATATACGGCACGACCCCTCCGAAGACCATGGCCCCGGCTGCCCCCCAGGAAACCAGCTGGTGCAAGGGGACCAAAAGCCAGTCCAAGCCTTCCGCTTCCATCCCGAACACCTGCGTCGCCCTGCCCGCCGACGGACGTCCGCCTGGCCCAGGTCCCCGCTGCTCTCACGGGCTCCCGGATCGCGCGCTGCCGGTCACCCCCACATCGCGGCTGCTGCCCGGCGACCCTCCGCCATCGGAGCCTGGCGGGAGAGAAGCGCTGAGAACTCCGAGCCAGGGCACCGCGGGGGCGCACGGCCGGGGCACCCCCCGCCGACACCGGAGCCCCCGCGAGCCCTCCGCGCGCGAGCCAACCCCGCGGGGGGACAGAGGCGCGGGGCGCACGGCGGGGCCCGCGGGTCGGGGGGGGCGGCTCGGCCGGGGCGGGGCGGGGCGGGGCGCGCTCAGGCCGGGGCGAGCACGCTGAGGCCGGGGCGGGCGCGCTCGGAGGGAGGGAGACCGGCGGCTCCGCGGCGGGACGCCCGGCCGGGCGGGGGCGGGGGACGCGCGCACGGTCCGAGGGGCTCCGTCCCGCGACCCGCGGCCCGCGCCGATCCCCGAGCTGCGACCCCGGGGCGGGCGGCCCTCGCGCCGCGTCCGCGTCCACGCGCGGCCTGCGGACCCGGAGCCCGATCCTCACCCGCGGCGGCCGCGCCCGCGCCGGCCCCGCCCGGTCTGTCCTGCGTCCTCCGTCCGTCTGTCCGTCCCAGCGCCGCAGCCCCGCCTCCGCGTGACGTCACAATGCAGGAGCCCCGCCCGCCCGGGCGCCGGGCCAAGCGGCGCTGGGTCCTAGAGCGCAGCGCACAGCCGGGGAAGGGTCGGACGTCGGGGGCGCGGGGGCGACGTTGCTCCGCCCGCGCGCCCGGGCCGGGGTCAGGAAGCACCTCCCCGGCGAGGCCGCGCCTCCGGAGCCCGGGACCCACGTGGGCGCGTCCGCACCTGCGCCGGGGCAAGGGGCCCTGTGGACGCGGCGCGCCCCCGAGAGCGGAGGACCCGCGCCTGCCTCTGGCCGAGGTCTGCGCGAGGCCCGGAGCCCTCCTCCCCTGGGGATCCCCTCTCGTGGGGACGGAAACAGCGTCTGCGCCCCGCAGGTCGTGCCTGAGCGCCCCCAGGGGACCCCCGCGGTCCTTCCACGGCCGCGTATTCTGACACCAGTGTCAGGCTCCCCTTCCCGAGGGGCAGGCCGAGCCCGGAGCAGCAGGTGTCAGGGGCTAAGCTGGTCTCCGGTGAGGCTGAGGGGGCGGCCCTTCTGGGGAACCAGGCCCAAGATGTCGCTTAGGGCGGGAGCCGGGGCTGCCTGCCACAGAGTGTCTCCACGCTGTAACTTGCTAAGCGCTCCGGGCTTCATCTGAGGCACACAGTTCCGGGAGGTGAACTCACAGGGTGCCCGCTGACATAAAGAAACAGGAATTCCAGAGTTCCCTGACCAAGGGGAGCCCCGGGGGCCTCAGGAAGGTGCTCCGAACAAAGATGCTGGTGGGCTGGGCGTGCGTGAAGCCCAAAGCCGGGTGGGATGGAGGGGCACTGGGGACACTTGTGAGAAGCCAGCCGGCCCCGTGTGCCCAGCACCCTTACAGTTGGGACTCAGGGTGGAGAAGACCAACCGCAGGGCCCCAGGACTCTGTCCACAGAGCAGCTCCCCTCACGCTCCTATCTCCACAACGGCAGACCTGAAACACCCCAAAAGGGAATGTGGTCCTGGGGCCACACACCTGGCTGGCCAGCTTCCCACTCCAAGGTGTGGCCTGCCCTCCTTCCTACCAGGCAGGTCTCAGAGAAATCATGGAATAGCTCCAACCTCCCTGAGACTAAGGCCCAGACAAGTCTGGTGCACTGAGCAGGAAAAACACAGGCTCGTTCTCAATCCCAGACCCCAGGTGGCTGTCCCCTCATCTCAGGAAGCTGCAAGGAGACTGGAAAGAGGCTTCACCCATCCCAGAGGCTGATGTTAGGGATCTCTGAGTCGAGGCTACTCAGAGTATCCCCAGGAAACAAGCATCAGGAATGTGTAGAGGGGAGAAAAAAAACAACCACAACCACAGACAAGGCTGCTGTGTCAGGGCAAGGAGGGAAAAGTGGGTGTTCCCACCCAGCCCCCTCTCCCCGAGCTCCAGGGGCCCTGGAGGCTTCACTCTGTCCTGGGGGTTGGAGTGAAGCTTCCTCCTGACTCTCACTGGAGCGTCCGGAGTCACAGCTGCTGATCCTGTTCATCCGGGCGTACTCGGGCCAATCGTCGCCATCATGGCCGTTTCGGAGCCATCAGGGCTGTCAAGGGAAGCGTCCACACCAGACCGTATCTACAGAGTCCAGCTACATGGGTACAGTCTGGCATCCTTGATCCAGCACCCCACAAAGGTCTCCAGTAAGGCCAGCTGATGACTGGAGAGTTCGCTGTTAAGTCCTTTTAAACACCAACCATCTGGGACCCGAGATGCACTCGCTGGCCTAGAACCATCCGTCAGTCAAGCAGAAGGGAGGACAGCTCATCCGACATGCTGCCTCATCCCATGGCTTCCTGTAGTCCCAAACAGAAGGAGCCAGCCAGGCTGTGCTGGGACGGAAAATAGCCCCCAAACGTATCATCCTCACCCCCAGGACCTGGCAATGTTACCTTATTAAAAAAAAAAAAAAAAAAAAGGCAGGGCCCCTGGCTGATTCGGTCAGTGGAACGAGTGACCCCTGCTCTGAGGCTGTGCGTTCGAGCCCCACGTGGAGTGTAGAGGTTACTTAAAAATAAAATCTTCTAAGATAAATAAAAATAAAATATTTTTGAAAATGCAGGTGTGATTAAGTTCAGAGTCTTGCTCTAGGGAAATGGTCCAGGATTATCCGGCTGGGCCCTGTGTGGAGACAGAAGGAAGGAAGGAAGGCAGAAGGAAGGAAACTTGACACACGGAGGAGACTGTGTGAAGACGGAGCAGAGATGTGGAAAAGTGGCCCTGAAGACTGGATTGGCCCAAGATGGTGGGAGTTGTGCCCAGAGAGGCAGGACCACCCTGTCACCACTGCTGGGGAAGACCACGCCACTAGGCTCTTCCCCCACGTGGGAGGGTGCCACCAAAAGCCATCAACTCCTCCAGGAGCCCTGTCAGAAGCTGCCTAACCAACGGCATTTCTAAAATGAAACGTAAACCAAGGTGACCTTGGTCCTAGGAGTCGGGACATTTTGGGCCGACCCCAGGTGGCTGTCCCCTCATCTCAGGAAGCTGCAAGGAGACTGGAAAGAGGCTTCACTCTGGAACTTGGGTGGCAAAGTGCAGGAATACTGGACTTCCAGAGTCTGCTCCAAAGCCCGCGGTGGTCGTCCCTGCTGACCCTCCTCCACAGCCACCCCCACCCCTGCCACAAGAGGCTTTCTTCACGGGCCCAGCCACAGCCTCCGCTGGTGAGGTGGGTGTGACAAATGTGTATTTCCGTGCATTCTGAGCTCACGTGTTCCCTCGGGCAGGCTGACCAGCTGCGGCCGAGGCTAGGCCCCACTGGCCCCCAGTCCCACAACCCCCATCTTGGAGCAGCCAAGTGGCTGAGCACCAGCCAGTAAAGGCTGATGGACTCGACGTCTGCCACTTCAGGCCTGTCTCCCTGGGTCTCCTCCGGCCCTTCATACTTACTGTCACCTGCTGACCAGGTGCAAACAGGGCAGAGGAGAATCCACCGGGACATGGCCTGGCATGTGGTCCCCGGCTGGATGGTCCCGGAGGCTTGACTGACAGCATAGGGCGGAGTCGCCATGGCAGCCTAGCAGTGTCAGGCCCTGACATCCCCGAGAATGTCACTGGGCTCAGCCGCCGGAATGGGTTTGTTCCTTACAGACAAGCGTTTCTTCCTGTGACGCACAGTCCGGTTCTGAAACTCCCACCACCTTACCACCTCCCCAATGGCCTCTAACCACACTCAGACACACTGCACACGTCCCCAGACTACGGGCCCCAACAAACCCAGTGCAGCCCACTTCTGCTCTTTCCAACCAACGCACCGGTGTTGTTCCCAGTAGAGGAGGCTCCGAGAGCCCTCCGGGACTTCCACGCAGCCACGCGCAGACCGAACCCAGAGCAGACGTCAAGGACACCTTTCGTTAACGCTCCATGTAGATTCCCTGAGAACACAGCAGCTCCACGGTCAGTTCCACCAATGACGGTTCTGGGATGAAGACCGCCCGTCGGGACAGCAGACCCGAGCTCCAGCACCGGGGCCCACAGCACACCCCACGACCCGCGCCCTGAGGACCAGAGATCCGTCCTTGCAGGCCTTTCTCTGGCCTCTTCTGGACACAGGAAACGCCCCAGAGGTGTCGTCAGAGGTCACGGATATTCCCGCCCTTCTCAGCCCTCCTCCTGCCTTTGAGAGCCTGGAGTGTGGGGGTCCCTGCTCAGATCGCTGAAACCCTGCGCGGGAACACTGTTAGCACTTCAGATTCTGAGTGACAAATCACAAAAATAGATAAAAGACGACAAAATGGAGGACATATTCAGAGCAACAGGAGAGAAGGCGGTGGACCTACAGGGCTCCTGTCTAGCTCTGGCCCCAGCGGCAGCATGGATTTTCCCTGTGAGAAGGAGCTGTGGGGGTGGGGGGGCGGCTAACCCGGTCCAGGCAGAGCCCCCGCCCCGACAAGGGTTGCCCCTCCCCCAAAAGCCCTGTAAGCAGAAAGGCAAGTCGTCCTGCGGTGAGATCCAGAGGGGGCAGACACTGAGCGGCGGAGCCGGTGGGTGGCCACCGCCTGGCGGTGTGGACGAGTGTCCTGGCATGAGCTAAGGCAAGCGGGATGCTGAGGCACAGGTGGAGGGAGAGCCCTGGGGCCCCCAGACTGCAAAAATGAAACCCCTGACTCGCAGCAGGGGGCAGGGTGGACAGGCTGGTGCTGAGAACATTCCGGAACTACTGAAAGCCCCATCCGTCGGGGGCATCTGGGCGGCGCCATCCACGGAGCATCCGACTCTTGGTGCCGGCTCGAGGGGTGACGTCAGCGTCCTGAGACAGAGCCCCACGACGGGCTCCACACTTGGCGGGGAGTCTGCTTGTCTCTCTCCCTCTGACCCTCCTCCACTCGCCTGTGCGTGCGTACTCTCTAAAATAAATAAATAATAAAAATTAAAATAATTAAAGCAAAATAAATAAATGAATAAATAAGATCTTTATTAAAAAGTTCCATCAGCCAACCAAGAGAAAAGAGAAAACAACTGTAGGGGGTGCCCGGGGCTCAGTCAGTGAAGCGTCTGCCTTCGGCTCGGGTCATGGCCCAGGAGTCCTGGGATCGAGTCCTACCTTGGGCTCCCTGCTCAGCGGGAAGCCTGCTTCTCCCTCGGCCTCTGGGCTCGTCCCCTCT